GAGTTTAAATGAAGCATTTACAGGGAAAATGACAGGAACCAAAGATTAATGTGATACAACAGGACACAAAGTCTGACTTTAAAACATGTGTTTGACTTTAAGGGAAGTGGTGTCCAGAAGAATGGACGAGGTTTGGAAGCAAGTTTTACTTTAAATACACTGCGAGTAAAACTTGGTCTGAGAGTCAAAACCACTGTAAGACCAGAGGAGCTGATCTGGTGATGATAACCAGCAAAGAGGAACAGGTGGGTGTGTTTGTTCATGTCTGTGTGATCTTTGATGGAGCTGACAGTGAGTTACAAAGTTCTTCATACTGTGAATTAAAGCCACACATTGATGATAAGTATACATGTGCAAACATACAGACACATAAACAAAGCAGCACATTCATTCCATCAGAAACACAACAGTTAGAAACTATGGAGGAAAATAAAGGGGAAAAGATTGAGGGAGAGCTAACCTGTAAAAATGAGTTTCAGCCGTTAACAGTCAGCTGACCTGATAGTCTGAGGAAGGCTGTTCCACAGTTTGGCTGCAACAAGCTCAAAAGCACGATGGCCTCTGGTGTTCAAATCAGAGCGAGGGACAGTTGGGAGACGCTGATTAGATGATCAGAGAGGCCGGCTGCAGTGATAAGGTCCAAGAAGCTCTGCTATATAAGCAGGGGCCTGTTCATGCACATCTTTATATGTTCATAACAGGATTTAAAAGAGGATTCTGAATTTCACTGTAAGCCAGTGAAGAGAAGCAAGAATAGGTGAGATATGAGACTGCAGGCCAGGTTTTGTTTGCAGCCTTGCTGCTGAGTTCTGCACTAACTGCAGACCAACTATGGAGGACTGAGAAATGCAGGTGAAAAGTGAATTACAATAATCAGGCAGGAGAAAGTATGAACTCAAAGTTCCAGATGATTGAATCACAGTAAAGATTTGATCTTTGCAATATTTCTGAGCTAAAGGAAACAAGACTGGCTGACCTTTGACATGTGAGGCTCAAAATGCAGCTGTTGGTTCAAAATGATCTTTAACAGGTGATTGGATGTTACTGGTGAGGGGGACGATGTACTGACTGACCTCCTCAGAGAAACTGAGCCAAACAGCACAACTTCAGTTTGAGATGAAGGAAGTTTAAATCCATGAAGTGATGACAGAGAAGCATTCACTGAGGCAGGAGAGGCTCGACAGAAAAGCATTAGTGTGTGTGTCATCTGCACAGCAGTGCTAGGAGATCCCATTAAAACCATTAAGCAGATGTCACAGGGGCAGCATTTATAAAGAGAACAGAACTGGTCCAAGGACTGAGGCATGTGGGACTCAGATGAGGACACACATTGATTACAGTTTTTCTCGATTGCTAAAACACATTTCTTGAAACTATGCCTCATATTCTCACAACAGTAAACACAAATCCATAACATCTCACTCAATTTCCCAAACATCCTATTTCCAGGTCAAAATGAAGCTCTACACTCAAAACTATTCACTCTTGCTGAAAAACCAAACTTTGCCCTCAGACATCAAACACAAGCCCTCAAAACACACACACTACAACAGAGTTTTGCACACTGGTACAATTAATTCAAAACAATAGTTCCAAAACAATTAGGTTGCTTATGGTTCTCCCCTTCAAAAACCTTTTCACATGATAAACACAAAAGACGCAACCAATGTATGTACAGTGGCACATTTTTATTCATGTACTATACAGTACAACACACACCAAAAAACATTATTCCACCTCAGCATCTTGTCTTTGGTCTGGGTCAGGCCAGAGAATCTCATCCACATCACAGGCTATATTGGCCCTAGCCAGGCAGCGGGGGTAAAATCCTCTTGCATGCCTGATCCACCCCTGGCATGCATCTACTGATATGTCTAGGCAGGCCTCTTCCATGGCCTGAAGGAGGTGAACACGGACATAAGGTTCTCGGTCATACACTTTGCCGAAAATAACTCCTCTATCGGGTTTAGAAAGGGAGAGTATGCAGGCAGAAAGATATTAGAAAACCTTGGGTTATTGGTAAACCAGTCACGAACCAGAGCAGCGCGATGGAAGCTGACGTTATCCCACACAACAACGTAGTGAGGCTGCTCTGGCTGTGCTGGTTCCCTGTAGTCCAGCTGGAACATATGTTGTCTTAAACCATCAAGAAAAGCAAGGAGAAGCATAGTGTTATAGGGTCCTAGTACGGCATGGCGGTGGAGTACCCCTCGTTGGCTGATGGCTGCGCACATAGTGACATTCCCTCCACGCTGACCAGGGACATTTACAATAGCCCGATGGCCAATTATGTTCCACCCCCTTTTCCTTCTTTTGGTCAGGTTAAAACCTGCCTCATCCACAAAGATTATTTCATGGGGAACAGGCCATCCTTCAATCTCAAAGATTCTCTGCAAAACACATAACACAGTAGAGTCAATCGGTACCCTGAACCACAGTTCAAGAGTGCTGCAATGGCAGCATAAACTACCATGCTGTGATGGTACACAATACTTTATACAGTATCAAAACTCATACCTGAACATATTCCACACGTTGGTTTTTCACTCTGTCAGAGTTTCGTTCGAAAGGGACTCGGTATGCCTGTTTCATCCGGAATTGATTCTTTCGGAGGATGCGGTCAATTGTGGAGAGGCTGATGGCATTTATGCCTCGAAAAAGATGATCATCCTCAATCACTCTCCTTTGAATCTCTTGCAGGCGGATTACATTATTTGCAATTACCATGTTTACAAGTTCCCTCTCTTGCTCCTCCGACAAAAGCCTTAACCTGCCTCCACCAGGTGGTCGTCTCTGTGTCCTACAAAAATAGAAGCACTCATTACTGTAACTGTCACACATTCTTTTTACAGGAAAATAATGGAAACATACTGAAACTCAAGAAACATAAGTTCAGTAACTTAAAAGTTACTGTACAAAGCAGTCTTACTGCAAGTACACCTACCTGTTTTCCTCCCTGAAGGTTCTGATGATGGAGGCAACAGTGAAGCGACTCAAATTTGGTTGTACTCGTTGCCCAGCCTCCCTCATAGTCATCCCATGGACAAGGACATGGTCAACTAAAGTGGCTCGAATTTCATCCGAGACTGACTGTCTTCTTGCCCTTGCTCTTCCCCTTCCTTGTCGCCGTCGTTCTCCACCTCCACCTCCTTCACCACGTCCTCCTCCTCCTCCACCTCTCCCTCCTCCTCCACCACCTTCCTGTTGTCCTAGACCACCTCCTCCTCCTCTTTCACCACGTCCTCTTCCTCCACCTCCTCCTCCTCTTTCACCACGTCCTCCTCTTTCACCATGTCCTCTTCCTCCACCACGTCCTCCTCCTTCACCACGTCCTCTTTCTCCACCACGTCCTCTTCCTTTGCATCTCTTTGGATCCATTGTTTCAAACCTGAATGAGCTGACTTTGGCCCTTTTATCTATCCATCGAAGGTTCTGATTGGTGTGTGATAAATTTTGACTCCTAGTGTTTCCACCTGGTTAATTGTGTGCTAATTGAGCTCAAGCTATGCTGACTTAAGTTAACATTATTGCATGCTAGTGCTTTCTAAATGACTACATGGTGTAAGCACTGAAAAATGTAGGGATTTGTGTGTAGAGTTTTGCAGTAACAGTTCACCAAATTTGACTCATGTGTCAAAGCAGGGAATAGTGTTTATAGTTCAGGGAAATGGGTGAGCTTTTTGAAAAATAGCGTTACGGTTTTGAAATTTTAGTTTAAAAGCCTGGTTATAGTGTTTAAGCAATCGAGAAAAACTGTAATATGAAGTATCTGTTTGATAAGTATAAAGAAAACCATGTGAGAGCAGCACCAGTGATGCCAGTTTGTAGTGTGTTAATAAGAGGAGCACCATCAACAGTATGAAGGCTGCAGAGAAGTCAAGCAGGACTCAAATGGAGTCTTTATCCCAGCGCAGAAGAATCTGGTTAGTAACTTTCATGAAAGCTGTTTCAGTGCTGTGGTTTGTCTGGAACCAGGTTGGAATTGATCAAAGATCTGAAGGAGCTGACGAGCAACTTGATTTAAAACAGTGGGATGTAAGGAGGGTTGATCCCACTCACAAAGACTCTGGCTGTTTGAAAGTCAGCTGAAATGAAAGGGACTGGTTTCTAATAGAGAGAAGTCAGGGGGAGATGGCAGCAGGAAGGAGTTTGAACTCCAACAACAGAACTGGAGGAGAGACTTGGGGCGGTTGAAGAGGTACAGACTTGAACTCTGACCTGATACTGTTGATGTTGCCAGTGAAGAAATCTAAAAATGTCCACAGTCATTAGAAGACATGGGAGTGACAGCAGTTTGTCTCTGGGAAGACAACACTGACTGTAAGCCTGTCAAAGATGATACATCTGTGATTGGATAGTAGGTCAGACATGTGGAAGGTCAGCGTTATGTGTGTGGCCGACAACATGATGCACTACATGAAATGATGCTGCAGTGTTCATCAATTGTGTGGCAGTGTTGTTAGAGGGATCATCAATAAGTAAATTAGACTCATCTACTAAAATGACTTTATGAACAATAACCGATGAGAGAAGATTAGAGAATCCATTCAGGAAATGATTGCAGGATTTGGGAGGTGGATCGATTACAATACAGCAAACTGGAGATTCACATTGAATTATGAAGGAGAGGAATTCAAAGCAGTTAAAGAACCAGGATTAAATGGGAACCAGTTCAGATGATCCTTAGAAACCAAGTCAACACAAAACATTGAAATAACAGAAATGTTATAAAATGAGAGAAATCCTCATAATCCAGATTATTTTTCTGATTCAATCCAACTGAATCAAATGATTTGTTAACACTGATTCCACTGCAACACTGACTGAGCTACAGGAGGAGCTGATATTCATTGATTCTTTGGCTCTTTCTGATTTCTGCACAATGGAAGAAAAGTTTCATCACAGTTATTCTTCCTTCAGACATGTTCACAAGATGATGTCACTACAACAGAAGTGCTGAATTATGACTGGAGACAATATTTGTGTCTCTTCTCAAACAGGAATTTATCAGTAAATTTGCAGGATACTCTTGGATTGGTCTGAGAGCCAACCAGACATCAGGAAGATCTAAATGGGAATGGGTGGACGGATCAGCGCTGACACAAACGTGAGACATTAGTTTGTTTCTATTCCAGAGTTATTATTTAGAAGTGAAACACTGATGTTTTGGAAGATGGTAAGTAAGTAAGTAAGTAAAATTTTATTTATATAGCACATTTCTAGATAGAGATCACAAAGTGCTTTACAAGATATAACAGATTAAAAAGACAAAATACAAACAAAGTTAGCAAAAGGCAGTTTTAAAAAGATGTGTTTTTAGCTGTTTTTTAAAAGTAATCAATGAATCAGCGGATCCTAAGTCCTGAGGAAGGGAATTCCACAGTCTGGCGGCCACAGTAGCAAAAGCTCTATCACCCCTAGTTTTCAGTCTCGTATACTGAATGACAAGTAGGCCCTGACTACTCGACCTCAGAGACCTACTAGGGGCATAGGGCTGTAAAAGTTCAATGATATATGGTGGTGCTTGTTGTTGAAGAGCCTTGAAAGTTAAAACCAAAATCTTAAACTGGACTCTAAATTCAACAGGAAGCCAATGTTACTGCATGAGCAACGGTGTTATATGTGAAAATTTAGAAGCTTTCGTCAAAAGTCTTGCTGCAGCATTCTGAACGATCTGCAGACGCTCCAAAGAACCTTTATTTAAACAAGTAAACAGGGAATTGCAATAGTCCAGTCGTGAAGAGATAAAAGCATGAATAACAATCTCCAGTTCGGTATAGGATATAATAGAGCTCAATTTAGAAATATTTCTTAAATGATAAAAGCAAGACCGAACAAGAGATTTAACATGACTATCTAACGTAAGAGCAGGATCAAGGATAATCCCTAAGTTCCTGACAGATGGTTTTACAAACGTTGAAAGAGGACCAAGAGCATTTATTATACTGGGTATATGTCTATCTGGGGCACATAAGAGGACTTCGGTTTTACTTTCATTTAGTTGGAGGAAGTTTTCAGCCATCCAGCCTTTAATGGTTTCCAAGCACACATTTAAAAGCCGCAGCTTAGAAGCCTCTTCCGGTTTAAAAGATATATAGAGTTGGATATCGTCCGCATAACTATGGTAACAAATATCCTCAAAAGGGCTCAAAATGTGCTGATCAGCAATACATGAGCTGAGCTATTTTCCAACAGCCCCACAAACTGAATGTAAAGAAAAGCAGAAATCCTCCTTTGAATGAACAGCTGTGCTTGAACTCTCTTCATCTGCAGTCTGTGATGACGTTCAGTTACAACAAGTCAGTTTGAAGGAATCAGGATTGAAACATGTTCAAAGCAGCGACCGACACATTTCACTTTGTTCAATTTGTCTTCATGTTTTTGTGCTGTAATGTTTCTTTTCTCACAGAACAAAAAGTGTTTCAGAGAATTCCTGTCTCTTCTTCTTTGGTGTTTGTAAAACTTCAGAACATATGAAGGAAGAAGCTTCAGTAAATATGACCTGATAGACACACATTTCAAAGTGATGTCTGTAAACAGCTGACAAAACAGTTTCAAACAGCAGAAAGTCAGCTCTGACTTCTTTTTATTCTCCATTTTTACAGCAGGAAGATTTCATATTCATCAAAGCTTGAAAGCTGTTTTAGTGTGCATGATGATTCTCAGAGAAAAGTCTAAAGGAGGGAAAGTGGGCGAGAAACCTGGGAAAGAAATACAGCAAATATTGGAAATATTCCAAAAGAGACGCATATTTATATGAATGTGACAATAGTTATGAGTTTAGTGCAGTTTCATATCAGATTTGATCTCTCTGACAGGTTCTGGGGAGAAGGATGGTCAGATCCTTATTCTGGATACCGTGGAGTCTGCTGTGACGATGATGGGAAATGGACGGGGTCATATGATCATGAATCAACGACCTTCATCTGTGAGAAATGAGTTTGGTGCTTTGATGTAAATGTTTGAATAATCCAACCAAAGACACCTCACTATGAAACGTCCTGCATGAGCCTCAGACTCAGCTTACAGTCTTTACTTGTTCATTCTGCATCATATATTGATTACATATATTGTCCCTCTGTGCTCTGTGCTGTACAGTAAGGTTGGAAGTCATCCACACAAAACCTTGAAGTACTTCATTACTCTGTAGTTCCAGCAAATTGTTCTAATAAAAGTCAAAGTGCAGCTTGTCTTTACTTTGCTTTACTTGGTTTATTCATCAGCCTGTTGGTCCTAAAACTACAGTAAATGTCTTGTTTCTAAAAGTTCAGCAAAAAATATCAAATGTGGGTTACTGCTGGTTAGTTAGTGTGACTTCATACAAACCTGTGTGTTACACCAGTGGAAGAAGCTTTTCCTTCATCAGTCTTCTTGTTTCTTACTATAGGGCTGAACAGCTACACTAACACTCTCTGGCTCTATGCTGCCCCCCTGTGGTCACAGTTGTAGTCAGTGTTGGTATGAAATGTTTGAAAGCTTCAGCACCACAGACAGCTGCAGGCAGCTCCACCCTCTAAGTACCATGTCTTTCTTAAACAGAAATAAGACAAAATAGAAACAGTAGAAGAAAATATAAAAGGCCAATTCAAATATAAAATAGACACAGCGGTCTGCAGCATCAGCAGAAGTGATACAAACAGGTGCTGAGATGCAGTGAACATAGAGCAGCATTATTATTTTCAGACTCGTGGATGGGAAATAATACATACAAATACATATTTAGATATTTCTTTTACTGCATGTTGACTGTTTATATGAAATATATTTATATAAATCACAAAATAAATAGCTGGTGTCTAATATGTGTTTTCAGCGCCTAAAGTGGAAACTGGTGAGGAAAATGTACTCAAAACAAGGCTTTACTTGCACAGTCTCCCCATCAGTTTATCAACAGACGTCTCAAATAACAGAAAAAATTGACATACAAACATGGGGGGATCAGACTGAAAGACCACGCTGCATTTTAGATGAAGCTGCTGTCCCAAATACTTCCATGTTAAAACTTTGAATCTTTAGATATTTCAGGGTATTTCAATCGTTTCCCACATTTCTGAACACATTTAGAATAACGACCACAGCACGTCTTATATTTTCAGTGACCAATCTAAAGTCTGCAAACATTTTCATGCACCAGCACATCACAGAGCACAGATGATATCATCACATCTGTCAGGACAGAAACACTAGCAGCAGTAAAAAGTACTGCAGAGGCTCAGGTTTGTGTTCAGCCCAGGCTCTGTGCTGCAGCTCAGCCCCTCTCTCCCCACTTTCTGTACTGTTTCAATGGTCTCTGTCCAAAAACAACACTGAAGAAATAACTATGGGAGTAGTAGAGTTCATAAACTCAAATCATGTATGAATAAATAAAAATATAACATTAATACATGCTGTATAATTTGTTAAATAAACTTTGGACAAACCCAGAAAGTTGATTCTGTTTCTCTGCATGTTGTGTTTTGTTTTAATTTTAATCATGAAATATAAAAGTGGTGCAGGGGTTTTGGTTTTTCAGGCCTAGTTTGGACACCACAGTCCTGCAGACGAGGACTCAAAATTTTATTACAGACACAACAGTGCAGATCCAAACATACCTGAGTGAACCAAACAGTGGAAGACTGAAGAATCCCCACGAGTACTGGGCAGGACTGAAAATGTTCATCCCAACTTGTATAAACTTGCTGTTGCTTCTTCGGCTACACCTGCTTCATCTGTGAGCTGTGAAAGGGTTTTTTCTAAATCAGGTGAAATCATCTCAAAAAAAGAGAAACTGACTGATGCACAACACAGTGGAAAAGATTTTATTCAATAAAAATAAAAGGTTATTATGATATAAAAATAAATGACATGTTGTATCATAAAGATCATAAAGACAGATTAAGATTATATTTGGAATTTATGTACTGCCATCACAAACATTATTCACTAATTCTATTCTTTCTATTCTATTTATTCTATTCTATTCTATTCGTTCTATTCAAAGCTTTACACCAAAGTCATGTCATTATAATGTCTTTGCCTGTTTTACATTTATTGTCCACTTGATGGCACAGTAGAGCAAGTGACACGTCATGAAGCGTCGGCTCATAAGTGGCCAGTTGGATGGAAAGCTTCAGTGCTTCATGAAGCTTCATCTTGGCACCACTAACAAAACCTCAGGCAACACATTAAACTAGAAACTAAGAAACTGGGAAACAACTGGGAGGACACAGAACCCATGAAATTCACAGGAACACAGCTTGATGGGACAACATGACAGAGACCAGAGGGAGACAGACAATATTTACTCAGGAGGAGATTAGTGCAGAGTGGACACACCTGGGGAACACAGCTGAACAGAATCTGATGAGACATGAACACCAATATAACGCACACAAAATGGGAGATTATCAAAGTAAAACAGGAAGTAACAAAAACACACTGAGACTCAGATGGCAATATGTGAACTTGACACTTTAACTGTGGATAAACAGACATGAGGACATGACAGACTGAGGAGACAAAAAAAATAAAATCAGGAACTAGAAAATAATTATCCAAAAGAAAAACCCAAAAACTGGGTCATAGACCCAGGACTGTGACAGCATCAGTGTGCAAGCACAGTGAACACAGAGCAGTAACTGTTAGTAAAGCACAGCTGTGACTCAGCTATCTGAGCAGAAAGGTGAAGGAAGAGGCATCAGAGTGTAAGAGGACATGCACATCTACGACAGTACAGACGATATCAGAGATAATCAAAGAGATTTTCAGTCACAGGAAGAAAATGATGAAAATGTTTAACTCTCGTCTGGTGTTCATATTTTTGTTACTCAGCCAGTGTTGACAGGTCTGGTGGCCCCACCCCCATTATTGTCATATTAAATCAATACATTCATAAATAATCAAAACGCTCCTTTTACATCCTCACATCATTTGTATAAAAGCAGTTTGATCAAAGGTGGGTTACTGCTGGTTAGTTAGTGTGACTTCATACAAACCTGTGTGTTTTCCTTCATCAGTCTTCTTGTTTCTTACTATAGGGCTGAACAGCTACACTAACACTCTCTGGCTCTATGCTGCCCCCTTTGGTGACATTTCATGATGATATAAAATATTAATATTAAACAAAAA